CAGGCCTGACGCTGGAAGCTGGCGGAAATTTTAAAATGGCGTGGATGCGCGGTGGCAAAAGTAGGCAGTTTTAGGTATAAAGATTGCAGCCCTCATTCTTCAGTATTCCTATCAGGGGCGTAGATTAAATATTTAAAAATAGGGATCAGTGAGCAAGTAATAGACAGACAAACAGAAGAACTAATTGTTGATGTTGGTGACAGTGATAAAGATTCTCATGATGAGAGTGAATGTGAAAACTAACTATAAAATAAAAGCAATAGGTTAATTTTTTCAAGTCATGTTTTTACATTATTTTCTAGTACGCTACTGTCCTATCTGTATTAATACTATTATTTACGCCTACTGACAGCTTATTTGTGTATCGGTTCCAAGTGACTTACCCAAATAGGTCATAAATGGGCAAGGACCTGCGCGACCGCTCGCCAGCTTCCTTCGTCAGACCTATACTTGTCCTTGATATTGACCCGCATCTCTACTAATCCATCTTCTGGTAAAGATGCAGCGAAGCAAACAAAATGTAAATGTTTTGCGTAATGTTTTTAGTAATACCTACTACTTAATACCTATTAATCTTTATGCTTACTAGAAAATTTGTTGTCTGGTACCAATAATAGCATGTAAGCACTTCAAAATTGTTAAATTCCTTGCTAGTTCAAGGTTCAACCACTATTAAGTCAGTTTTTTATTTGTCTTTTTAAAATTAGTACACGGGCATGATAATAAACGTTAGTCTAGAGTTTTTTCCGTCGTCTAAGAAGAAATTAAAAACTACTGAAATGCTTAACAAAAAATTGGAAAACTAAATAAAATTTGAATGAAAACAAACATTACTGGGATGCATTCACAATTTTTTTTTGCTGTTTAGACAGTGTTATTGTGAAATACTACTAAGCAATTCAAATTATATAAAATGCGAACATATAAGATGTAAACATTACTAGGAAATGCTAACGAAAACAATATTTACCTTTCTTCTTTTCATGAAATTCAAATTAAGAGATGTATTATGCATCAATATATTGTAAATATTGCATGTTAACAACATTCTCACTCTTTTGCACTTGCATTATTCACTTGTAGCACCACTTTACGTATATTTACCATCACTTATTAATTAAGCTACTATTTTCCTAAGAATAATGGAAAAGATATTTACGAGAACGGACCTTTGTATTTCTACATCGTAACTTGCCTTTGTTGAATTTGAAGCATTCATTAGGCCGTGTTTATAAAAATAAAGCATTTTCTTTCAAGTGAAAGGTAGAAGTAAAAGCTTTTGCTACAATCCGTATTCATAATCTGCACCTTTTCCTTGCAAGGAAATGCTTCGGATAAATAATGTAGAAGGTATAGATTAGTCGCTATCGATTTCGATAAACTAGTTACAATTTGCATTGTGCAATCAACTTGTGCAATGTTGAAAGTTAACAAATTTAAAATGGTTCGCACAATAACGCAGAAATATTTTCATTTTCTGTACAGGTGACATAACTACTCCACATGTTTCGGGATACGCGCCAAGAAATTCTCCTTAAATCTAAATAACGTTGTAAAATCTGATTTTCGTGGTGTACGTCTTGGTTTATAGTATTTTGTTGTACGTAAATGCACCATATCAGCCATAACAAGTACAATACTGGGACCACACAACTAAAGATTAGTCATACAAGTCCTTTTAGATAGATTTTAACACAAAAACAGTCCTAGAAATACATAAATTTTTACGTTACAAGCTGTGTGACGCTTGGACAGCTACTTAAAAGTTGAAAAGAGCGAGAAAATTTGCTGCTTCTTTTTGTAAATACGAATTATGTAAAACATTTTACTTTAAAGCAAACCTTCGAAGCAAAACCTTTTCAGTTGCTTTTTTTTATGCATATACCTTGAAGGAATTATTATTTGAATTGAATTACCATTGAAATACTTTACTATAACGTTACTGAAAAAAATATTTTTCCCTGACTTCAAGGACGAAAGAGGAGTATTTCCTCTTGATTAAGAAATCAAATTTATTCATTATTAGAAAAGGGATTTATCATCATCCCCGGGATTTCCACCCTCGCCTTCCTAATAAACACTAAATGCGATTTCATACCTGGGGGATCAGGTTGCCCTTCCTTCCCTTAAATCAGGAAAAGTCATACTGTCAGGACAGGGGCATTTTCGCTTCGAATGGTCCTATCTGTCCTAATTCGGAATTATACAATCCATTTTAATTTGTTTATTTAATTTCTCTTAAACTATTCCTCTAATAACTTTCAAACGTTGCAAGGACTTTTAGATATAAATGCGTTCTTATTTTCAATGTTTTAATGAAAATTATTCTGTTAATTTCTATCGAATCGACCTCTTTAAACATTGTACCCAAGATACTTACAAGTAGAAACGAAATATTATATTAATTGCTTACACTTGTACGTAGATATAAATATAAGTAGGAAGAATCGTGTTGTGTTTTTCTTTTGTTTTTAAATAAATATGTTCTTCTGTTTCAGTGGTTCAAGGGGAACGATGGCTCGTTGCAAACCAAAAGTAAACAGGCACAACCTGTTGACCTTCCTCACCGTCGTGGGCGTTGTTGGGGGAACTGTATGTGGATGCATAATCAGAGCTACCGCGACCTCAAAATGGACCCCCAGGCAGATCATGTACCTGGAATTTCCTGGCGATCTCTTTCTCAGGATGCTGAAGGCTCTTATTGTACCACTTCTAATGGCTTCTGTCATATCAGCCATCGGTAGGTTCAGATAAACGATTATCTTCAATTAAAATCGGAATATCAATTACAGATTACAGTGTAAACTCTCCAGAAATGAACCTAAAGGATAGACAATTTTGTTATGAAAAGTTTAGGTATAATGTCGAGATTCTTAATGGTACATGTTACAAACGACCTCCGAATTGCAATTAAGTGTACAGATGACGAGAATTATCCCATTTCTCCTTACATATTTGCCGTAATTAATTCATTTCAATTTAGGGCATACATCAGAAATTTAGATAATATTTAACTCTTGGAATATATTAACTTTTGCCATTTGATTGGTTCACTATCTTCTATAAATTTGTTATTCAACCAGAGTTCGTTTAAAATTTCTTAGTAGTGTTTATGAAGTAAGCAATTTCTTAGAAGATCAAGAAACTCTTACTAGGCATAGTTATATTTCTTCACGCTAAGCGTATGCTCTAATTTTCTTCTCTTGGAAAATTGTGTTAGTCATATACCTCATTAATAAACAAAGCCACTGTTATTCGTATGAATAAAAACCTTTACTCTTAGCTTTTAAATTATTTCTTGATTGTTATTATACTTCTCATCATCGTCTTCATTATAATCATTAGCTTATCAGCCCAAATAGTAGTTTGACATGCACCTTACTGCAAACAGTAATAGATCTACCTCTATCCTTTTTAACTCCTGTTTCTCATTTTAATATGTCTCCAACTAGCCCGTTATGTCCTATCAAGGTGTCAGGAAAAAATATTATGAAATTTATAGTAAAAAAAACCATAACACAAATCTGTCGATCTTAAAATCTAACCAATAAATAATTGTTTTTGGATAATTATTTTACGAACCATAAACCGGGATTTTAAAATTTCTTTTGAGGAATGTAGAAATTGTCATTTTTCCACTCCTTATCCTAGATCATATTTTCCGAAAATTAGAACTCCTCTTTATTCCTGTTTCTTCTTCTAGTATCTCTCTAAAGCTCCCGTTTGATGTCTTCTTTTTTCTAATAGTTCCTCCTTTCTAACCCTTTCTATCCATAATATTTTGCACATTTTCCTATAGCAGTAATTCGCAAAGATTTGTTACTCTTTCTTTTCAGTTCCGACATGTGCACACCATCCACATTTCGCACCCATGTAGGTATAGAACAGATTCTCAAACATATCTACACTTTTAAGAATCTATTTCCGATTTCCAAATTAACTGTTCTCCATTCCTTTTTGTAAAACGCGACTGGCAGACTGTACCTGCATTTCCCTTTTATGATGTCTCTACTGTTACTGTATGACATACATCTACAAATTCTGAATTTTAAGCAGCTGTATAGGCTATTTTTCTTAAGATAGGGCTAATGAATTTTTGTTTTTTTTAAGTGCTTGTCGCGGTATGACTTTCTTGTCCAGATTCATACTATCGGTCAAGCCACGGTCAAGTGACGGTCCGGTAACAACAAAGCAAAGTATTGTAGCATAGATTACATTTTGTATGACATTGTTCATTAAGAAAGAATAGTCAAATCACGGTCCAATTAATTAACCGCAGTATTTTTCTTCAGGGATATTTTGATCTGACCGTGACTGAATCGTAACTTGACCGATAGTATGAATTAAGCTTTTAGGACCACATGTGTACCTTTACCAAAAATTAGATTTTGCGGTAGTGTTCTAGACATTAAATATTGTTCATCAATGTATCAACTCACGATTAAGTTCGATTCATATTATCGGTTAAGTCAAGGTTTAATCACGGCCAGATGATAATATTGTCAGAGAGAGATACCGTGGTTAATATTAACTTGGTTGTGAATTCATCGTTCTTTATCGTATGAATACCGTCATATAAAATGGATGCCGCAATATTTTACTTGACCGTGACTTGATCATGACTTGACTGAGTTAGGCTTTAAAGTGCATTTAATTGACTGAACAGTGACTTGATTGTCACTTATAGTACGAATATTACCATATTAAATGTATACTACAATATTTACTTTATTGTGGTCGGACCGTAATTTGACCGTGGCTTGACCGATGGTATGTGTGGAGATTTAATGTGCTTGTCCAGCAGTAATACACTTAATTTTAATGTTTTTATTTTTACTTGTTTTCAGGATCTTTGGACCTTAGCCTGTCAAAGAAAATTGCGATTCGATCAATAGCGTATTATGCTACAACAACCATTTCGGCGGTAATTCTGGGCATTTTTCTGGTACTGACCATACGACCTGGTGTGAGTGCAAGCAAAAATTTCGAAGAAACAGAAGACGATACACAGGCTAGACCTGTCCTAACGGCAGATACATTGTTAGATTTGATAAGGTACGTTTATAACAATTATTGATTTTATATGTGAAAGTGCTATAAAAATATTAAAAATGCTTAGTGTTCCATTGAAATTGTGAAAACATCAACCCAAATTAGGGTGGAAAATTATATATGTTTGGGGTTGGTAATAAATGTATTAGAAACATTGCAGTGATATTTAGATAAAATTACTTATGGGCTTTTATTTATTGCATTGAACTGAAAATAACATAATGATTATTTAATTAAAATGACCCCTATACATTTTATAGTAATACTAGTATATATCGATGCAGTTTATAGCAGTATTAGCATCTAGCAAGGAGGAGATAATTTTAAATAAAATGGAAGCGGCATTGACAAAACAGTATTGTATGAAAATAAATAAAACAAGAATACCGGTATGCAAGGGAAGAAAAAGTAGGGAAAGAGCGAATGTAAAGATAGGAGGAGAAAGATTAAAAGAAGTGGCTGATTTTCGGTATTTAGGAGAAGTCAGATAAGTCAGGATGGATGGAGTAGTAGGGATATAAAGTAAAGATTAGCGCAGAGTTGAGTTGCCTTCAATAAAAAGAATTAATTTCTATGTTCGTGAACGGTTAATTTAGAAATTCGAAAAAGATTTTTAAAGGTGTATGTTTGGAGTTCGGTTTTGTGCGAGTGCGAAACATGGATGGTGGGCACGGCGGAAAAGAAAAGGTTAGAAGCGTTCGAAATGTGGTGTTACAGGCGAATGATAAGGATACCGTGAATAGAGAAGGTTAGAAATGAAGAGGTATTAGAAAGAATAGGAGAACAGAGGACTCTATGGTAGTCAATAAGAAATAGGCAAGATATGTTGGTAGGACACCTTCTCAGGCATGAAGGTCTAGTCAGAGACAACAAGGGTTAAGAGTAGAGGTAGACCTAAATTAGATTACAGTTCGCAAATAGTTAAGGATGTAGGTTGTTGTAGTTTTACGGAAAGATTAGCTCAGGATAGGAAAGGGTGGAAGTGCGTGTCGAGCGGCATGGCATTCTCTCTTCTATCTTCATTTCGTCCGTCTCATCTTTCTCACCCGAACCACCACCCACCCATTCTCACGATTCCTGAAAGCAGGCTGAAGAGGGTCTTCCGCCCTACCTTCCGGCGTAGTCCGGAGGGACTGCCCGCCCACCAGTATTACTGGCTGGTGGGAATGAAACACCCAAAAGTTTTTTTTTTGTCGAACCAGTCTTATTAAGACTGACGGCCGTATAGTGATGATCGATGCGTTCGGTCAGATGCGGATTTAGATACGTTTGGTGCTAATAAGTACATAACAGTTTAAATAGAAAATCTAAATAACTTTCTAATAGATTTCGAGTTATGTATTATTAACATCAATATAAGTTTTTATACAAACATGAGCCTTCGCCAAGGCGGTGAACATTACTTTTGATCTCGTGACCCAACTGGAGATTTCCGTAGGTTATTTTGGATACATTTCCATCCTGCTTATGCATATGTATAGTAAAAGATCTAAATATTAAACAAATGAGATTATACTTTATCTTTATTTCTATTTCTGATTCTAATATGTTTTTAATTAGCCCTTCATGTCTCCCTTTTCTTCATCGATTTTTGTAGCGTATTCTGTTTTATTACTTTTTATCAATAGCATCCACATTTCTAACTTTTACCACCAATGGTACTTTTAAAAATATTTACCTAACCATTACAAAAATAAATTTTTACGGTTTGTTTACCTAAAAAATTTGTTGTTGTTTTTATCTTTAACTGTTCGAAGAATTGCTGTGACTAATTTAATACACAAGTTTTACATTAAGGATGTTTGGGAGGTATGTCAGAATGCTACGAGACAAACTTGGAAAAAAGTATCTCATTCACTTCTAAAACTCTTGTAAAAATTACAAATCGATTCATTAAACCGTTAAAAAGTTATTGAAATTTCAAAAAATTGTAATTTTACACGTCATTTTATGGAGATTCCTTAACCGAACAGATTAAATTTATTTTTATTAACAGAAAAAAAGCTACCAGAAATTTCAAACTTTTATAATAAGTAACTTGAACTCTGGAGAATCACTTTAGCGTAAGGTTATTCAAATTCACTAAATGGTTATCGAGGAAAAAATGAAAAATTAGCTGAAAATCTCGTTTTTACTTGATAATATAATGATAATATTTATAATTGTCTGAAATAAATGCAATTTTAAAGTTTTAATTATTATTTAAACATATTAAAAAGTTTTACGCTCATTATTAATAGAGATTGAAACTAAATATTTTTCTGTTTCGAAGTTGAAATCAAGGCATATTCACTGCCAAAAGTCAGTTAAAAATTTTCTATATTATTCGTTATTTCTTATTTTATTCAAAATTTTTGGTCAAATTCCAAATTTGCTCTCAAACCATATACTTTTTTTAGTATAGATATTATTTATTTACCTCATGATATCCTGCAAAACCTAATTAATCACGAATTTCAAATATTTTTTTTGCCTCCGATTGTACCTCCCAAAGATCCTTAAACTAAACACCTTCAACATCCAATGGTTATCAATTATTTTAAAATACGTGTTGGTTCCGATACATTCCATTGAGTTCATAAAAATTGGAAACAAGTGGATATTAAAATGCAAAAATAGTGTGTCAAGGTTTTAGATTCATGCGATGTAAATTGTTTACTTATACTGAGGTATACCTAAATAATAAATTTTCAGAAGAAGATTAGTTTTATATTTTCGCAAATAATCGTGTAATGGATACTTAATCTATTGTAATTGTTGACATTTCTGGACACTTTATTATATTATATTGTACATAAATGATGAGGGGAAGGTCAAATTGTAGTTATGAAACACGAAAAATCAATATTTATAAAGATCCAAAATAAACATTATTAAATAATTTTACTGGCAGTGAAACCACACTAAGTGTTTAGGTTTTATCAAATTACTCGTTTGAAAATGAATCTAATAGTGATTCCTTTGATTTCTTTATTATTCAGAGGGGACAGCTCTTGTCAATATTAAAAGAAGAAAATCTACCTTGAAAAAGTCTCACACCTTGGGGGTGTTGTTTGTTGTAATAAAATATATCCTTACTAGCAGAAATTACTCTGGTTATTCATATTAAAAAAGTATAATTTTACATATTAAAACTAATTTAACTAAATATAATGTTTATTGTTGTATTCCCTGTGAGTACATGTTTCTTTACAAAGTTTCATTGAAATGTTTTTGTTGTGCTCTAAAGGGGTATCTTCCTGTACAACCAGTCAAGTGGGAAACCAATAACGATTCGTCAGCTCAACTGGGTTGATGTTTTTAAAAATTAATTGACTGGACTTGAACATCAATATCCATTCAAAAATTGACTATTTGACTTCATTTGCTATTTGCTATTTGATGTATAGTAATTTCAATCTACAATTCTTGATATAACTTAACCTAACCTAACCTCATATATTCTAATAAGCAATCAAACAAATGGATTCTTAGCTTAGTGCATTTAATAGAGACCTTCCTTTCGATTTCTTTACGTAAAATTATCATGGTTGGAACATTTTAAGTCATATTCAGGAATGTTTTCACAATCTAGCAAAATAATTGAAGAAATTGACATTCGCGTAACGATCTTGAAAAATTTTGGAATACTATCAACTTGAAAATGGATGAAAAAATCAAGTCGTCTGGAAAAACTTCTTGATTTTGCGAATACAAATACAAATACATACATGCTTGACCCGGACTTGACTTAATATGAAGTCAAGACAAGTCAAGTAAGTTGAAAATCAAGCCAAGTCGCGAATCCGTAGAAACAAAGATGTTGGAACGGTTTCGAATGATGGATGCCCCAATAATATCAGTGCTGCGAATGCCGTCTACGGTGACTATCGTTCCGACCGGATACACCGTGACATGAGATGATTACCATCAACATCAAAATTTCCTGGCCCCAAACGAGCTATGTCCTGATAAAGAGAACAGCAGGCTCTCATTCGTCAGCAAGTCCGCTCCTTCTCTTTCGTACGCATTGTCACAAGGTACCAGAGACCTCCGCCATCTATGCATAATCGTATATGTACATATATATGTTTCTATTTACGAATAGATGTGTAGTAAATACGTACCTATGTATTTATAGTGTCCCTGGCGAACAAGATCAAAATAATGCATTGTTGTTATTATTGTAATGACCTGGGTGCATAATAATCGTCAGATAAGTCAGAGCCGGAGTCAGAATCTTTTCCATTTATGCAGAGCAAGTTTGCAATACATAAGTACTTGAAATTAGCGAAGAATTCCATTACGTTTATAATAAATAGAGATCGACAGACCAGGTGCCAGAGGGTTTCATTCATTTCTGTTTTGTTTTTCGTACGTCTGTTCTTGCATTAATTACATTAGGTAATTTTTTCCATAACACAGTCCAAGTCTAACTCGAACCTCTTAAATGCAGTTACTTGTGCTCGACATCGCTTCTACCTATATTTCTGTCCTTAAGCGCATCTATATTGTCCTTACAATCTCAAATCATGATGTCAGACAATATAAGTACTTCGTTGGTGTTGTCTTTTCCTACCGTGATCTTATAATCTTAATCTGAGCGCTTTTTTGCTATTTTCTATAATATAATACTGAATGCTATAGTGAAAATTTAATAACTGTAGTTATTGATTATCGCTGCGACTGATTTTCCGAAGAAAATTATTAGAAATAGATATAGATAAGACAATATAAGTACTTCGTTGGAGTTGTCTTTTCCTACCGTGATCTTATAATCTTAATCTAACCGCTTTTAGCTATTTTCCATAATATAATATTGAATGCTATACAGAAAATTTAAAAACTGTAGTTATTGATTATCGCTGCGACTGATTTTCCGAAGAAAATTATTAGAAATAGATATAGATAAGACAATATAAGTACTTCGTTGGAGTTGTCTTTTCCTACCGTGATCTTATAATCTTAATCTAACCGCTTTTAGCTATTTTCCATAATATAATATTGAATGCTATACAGAAAATTTAAAAACTGTAGTTATTGATTATCGCTGCGACTGATTTTCCGAAGAAAATTATTAGAAATAGATATAGATAAGACAATATAAGTACTTCGTTGGAGTTGTCTTTTCCTACCGTGATCTTATAATCTTAATCTAACCGCTTTTAGCTATTTTCCATAATATAATATTGAATGCTATACAGAAAATTTAAAAACTGTAGTTATTGATTATCGCTGCGACTGATTTTCCGAAGAAAATTATTAGAAATAGATATAGATAAGACAATATAAGTACTTCGTTGGAGTTGTCTTTTCCTACCGTGATCTTATAATCTTAATCTAACCGCTTTTAGCTATTTTCCATAATATAATATTGAATGCTATACAGAAAATTTAAAAACTGTAGTTATTGATTATCGCTGCGACTGATTTTCCGAAGAAAATTATTAGAAATAGATATAGATAAGACAATATAAGTACTTCGTTGGAGTTGTCTTTTCCTACCGTGATCTTATAATCTTAATCTAACCGCTTTTAGCTATTTTCCATAATATAATATTGAATGCTATACAGAAAATTTAAAAACTGTAGTTATTGATTATCGCTGCGACTGATTTTCCGAAAAAAATTGTTAGAAATAGATATAGATAAGACAGTATAAGTACTTCGTTGGTGTTGTCTTTTCTTACCGTGATCTTATAATCTTAATCTGACCGCTCTTTCGCTATTATGCCATAGTGAAAATTTAATAACTGTAGTTATTGATTATGGTTGCGACTGATTTTCCGAAGAAAATTGTTAGAAATAGATATAGATAAGACAGTATAAGTACTTCGTTGGTGTTGTCTTTTCCTACCACGATCTTATAATCTTAATCTAACCGCTTTTAGCTATTTTCCATAATATAATATTGAATGCTATACAGAAAATTTAAAAACTGTAGTTATTGATTATCGCTGCGACTGATTTTCCGAAGAAAATTATTAGAAATAGATATAGATANGGTAATTGAGTAAATTAACAGTAAACTCTGAAAACACATTTTATATTGAATGCTATACAGAAAATTTAAAAACTGTAGTTATTGATTATGGTTGCGACTGATTTTCCGAAGAAAATTATTAGAAATAGATATAATATAACTAACACATATCCGACATGAGTATTGGAGTCGGGACATGACTAGCAAGCACACGATTTTCAAATTAGTTTTTATAATGCATTGTAAAAATTATTACTATTATTTACAGTTTCTTTTTACAAATGGATCTGGCAACTTCGCATTTATTAAGTATAATATAATATAGGGTATCAGTGCATTTCCTCACTAACATCGCTTAGGCGAGAATTGGAGCAACTATTACTGGCGTCCCATTTAATATATCAAAAGTCCCGCTCAAGAACAGTGTAATAAATGACCTATGCATGTATGTAGGCCTATAATATACCTACTACTTTTATAGGGCAAAAACTTCGCATTTGCTTTATTTTGAAAAAGGTCTACACAAAATAAAGACCGAAAATATCTACAAGCGTGAAAAAAGGAAATAGAAAATTTTTAGTAAAAATTAAACTCATCATCATCATCATAAGGTCGTCAGTCCTAAGACTGGTTGGACACGTACCTCCACTGTTTCCTATCCTGAGCTAAACTTCGCATTTCCCTAAAAATTGAACAACCCACATCCCTAAACAGTCACTTT